TTTTAACTAGTGGAATTGGATGATACAAATTGTTACACACCTTACTCTTTTCACTTGGTAACATACCTAGGCAGTTCTTCTGTACAGTATGTAGAAATCTACCTCATTCTTCCTATTAGCCTTAGTAGTAGTTTGCTGTGCCATAGCTTAATCAAACAGTACTTCTGGTGTTAGACATTTCGTTTTTCTTGTTCGTTTTCTGTTTTGTTTTGTTGTTATAAGCACGTTTCTTAAATCTTAATTTTTGTTTTCACTTAAAATGAATGTTTTTCAAATTATTGAATGTTAATGTTGTCCATCAGTGTGGTGCTGTAGAATAAGCACTGGATTGCTAACCACAAGGTTAGTAGTACAAACCCACCAGCCACTCCTCAGAAAACATAGAGAAGCTGCTAGGAGTTGGAACCAACTCAATGGCACTTAAAAACAGTGGGTTACGCATTGGGCTGCTAACCACCAGGTCAGCAGTTCTAATCTACCAGCCACTTTTGGGAGAAAGAGGAGGCTTTCTCCTCCCATAAAGATTTATAGCCTCGGGAACCCTGCGTAGTGTCTCTATTTGTTGGAATCAACTCAATGGAATGGCAGTGGGTGGTTATTTATATAAGTCTTGATCGTCATTTTGGTAAATGACTACATTGTTTTCTGATTATTAAAACTTGTTTAGTAGAGAAAATGTGGATGTGTTCAAAAGTATAACAAAGAACGTATATTATCCTACATTACCTGTAACCCCACCATCTAAAAGTAAATACTGTGCAAAGTGTTTTTCCTAGGCTTTTTTTCTTCTTCCATTTCCTATACCTGACATTGCTCCATATATATGTTATACAAAGATTTTGTATATGACATGTTCAAATATGGTATGTAGACTTTTTTATAAAGTTAATTAATATATTATTAGCTTTACAGAATCTCTAAGTTGAGGAATTATTAAATAGCTCTGGACCTATGCTGTAGGATGGAGGCCTGGTATGACGCTGTGGGTTAATGTGCTGGACTGCAAGTCTGTGTGAACCACTAGGTCGGTGGTTCAGACTCCCCAGCTATCCCTTGGAAACCCTGTACAGGGTCACTCTGGGTGGGAACTGACTGGACAGCACTTAACAACAACCATAGGTTGGAAAGCCATGTACCTCGTGAAAATCGTATCTCAGAGCACTCTGCAGACACCTGTGTGCATGCTTACATGCACTCTCACACACATACATGCAGCGCTCAGGAAAACAAAACTGAAAGGTAATAAACAGGTATTAAAAAGACTATTGGTGGATGGTGATGTTTTTATATTCCTTTAAAACATTTTCTAGCATTTTCTAGAATTTCTACAGTGGTAATGAAATAACATGTATGTTGTTAAGTGCCGTCAAGGCAGTTCCTGTATAGTTTCCAAGAAACAGCTGGTTGGTTTGAACTGCTAACCTTGCCGTTAGAAGTCCAGTGCTTATTCTGCAGGATTACAAATACCTGGTGGTGGTGGTTATATGTTGTGGAGTCAGTTTTGATTCATAGCCACTCTGTATAGTGTTTCCAAGG